CACACAACATGATCTACTCGACCACCATTCATGGTTACCGTCAAAAAGAAAAACATAGGTAAAAAAAAGAACGGTAACCTGGTTGCCGAGTTCACGAAGTGAATGGGCTTGTCTTACAACGTCGTTGCCAAGCGACGAAAACCCAACCCCGATGGCAAACACCGGGGGGGGGGAGTTGGGTGGGAGAGGAAAACTGTTGCCCCTCAGCCAATCATATGAAGCCGCTTAAATCTGGAACTTTTTGCGTGCACGAACTTTCCAGGAAAATTTCTTAATTCTAAATCTGCTTCCTTAAATTGAAAAATTCGAGACCCCAGTCAGAATTTGTGTAATATACCATGGTGTATGAAGCGTGTCGTGTTCATTCTGCTTGCCGGTCTGCTCGACCACAACACTACACTGGAACTGCATTATTAGGAGAGATGACATGAAGTCTACCCACGCGAGGTGGGAGTGAGTCTAGGATGTGGATCCCAACGCGTGGAAGTGTCAAAGCAGTGAAGGTTCGCCGGCAACAACAACAAGACACAGAAATTCCCGTGAGGAAAACTTCCCTTGCACGGCTCTGTAAGGTCTAGACTAAATAGTTGCCCACGAACTTGTCGAGATAAGTCGAACTCCTTGTTTATCGTGTGTTCGCAGGCGAAGGATCTTTAGAATATGCATATTGTACTCCCTCCACAACACGAACGAACACGTACAATCGGCAGTAATTCCATTTTAGTCTAACCCGTACCAAATGTTGATTAGCAGAAGTTTTAGACTGCAATTCGTTCCTCTGTGCTGTATGTAGCCAGTGGTTGAAGCAGCGAAACAAAATCCACCGCGGCCGCCGCCGCTGTCGTCGAAGTTGTCGTCGTCGTCGTCACATACAACAGATGAATGTGTTTCTCTACAGGAGTCCGTAGATATTTCGGGGAAATGGTGTGCCCAAAAACTTCCGCTTCCGTGGCACCGATGGTGGCTTTGGGAGGGGTCAACTCCAAGTTATTATGGAAACACAATCTTTCAAAAAGCGAACGAACGGTTGCCACATGAGCGGCTACGGTCTCATCATAACGATCAGATGGTCCACGTATGACGCCACACCTTGGAGGTCATTGATGTCTTCGTTGACAACCTGACAGAACCATCCAGGAGCAGCAGAGCTGCCTTGAGGGATTCTTAGCCATTCGAAAAGCCCAGAGGATGAAACAAACGCCACGATTTTGGCTGTTTGGCAGAGAGCACTAATTAATACAGATTTCACACAAACGGGTAGTTAATGGTTGGTGGCGTTGCAGAACGGGGGTCACCGTCGGGTAAGACAGGACCAAATGTGCAACCAGCAGAGCTGGGGGTATCAGAAACGAAATCCGGCAGAACGGCGGCGGTTTCAAGGCCCGCGCCATGTATAATCGTCGTGCGGGATGGTGCAAAATGGTACTTGGAGAAGGGCGCAGAAGTAGCGGTACCACCCCAACCAAAACTCTCCGGGCTCTAAACTCGAAACACTCGCCAACGGCACACCACGTTATCTCCCATGGGTGATGAAATGTTCGTCGGAGGAAAAACAGGGAAGTTCGAGGGAGGATCACATCCACCAAAACAGGGAATCCTTCAACGCCATTCTCCCTATGGTGGGTGAAAGTGAGTTCACCGAGATCACCTCAATCTCCAGGACGTTCCGGGGCCAAAGTGCGGTAGAACGGTCGCGAATAAGCAAATAACCGCATCCAACTCTGTATCTCGGCCGAGCAGCACGTCATGATGATGCGCAACGCCACCAGGAACAACGTAGTCTAAATACTTAGACTAGTTGCTGAGGCAACAGCACTGTCACTGCAGTCGCTGTACAGATATTCCTTCAGCTGTGGCTACAAAGTAGCTAGTATGTGATGCGAGGTTAGGTAGTAGGCAAACACACAGAGTGATATTGTTATCCACACCACAGACGCCCAAGCTGTCTTCACCTGACGGTTACAGACTTGGCAACGCCTTCACAGCACTGCATTAACCCATGCAGTAGAATAGAGTCGTTCTTGTACTGCAATTACTCCAACATGTACTTTCAAGAACTACGTCATTCTAGTGCCAATGCATCAGATCCAATTTTCTCTCACTGTCCTCTCGAAACAATATCCATGTCCTCTCGAAACAACGATATCTTCTGACTCATTATCAATTGTTCTGCCTTTCTCAGCTGCGTTGCATCAGCAGCGAATGTTTTCCTTCAACACAAATCCCTTCCGAATATTCTTTAAACATATACACACACATACACCATCCAACCCTCAAGACATAAAAGTCTGATTTCGAAGAGGGGAGGTGATCAAACTCCTAACGGCATGCCACGGGCGCGGAGAAACTCCGACGGGTTTAGCCCTTTTGTAAAAATATCCGCTTTCTGAAGCGACGTCGATATTTTCTTCACGTCTACGACTCCATCAGCTACCAGCGACCTTACGTGGTGAAGCTTTACGTCAATGTGCTTAGTCCTTGGGGTGATACGGAAGCTGCGAGGTAATTTCAGAGCTCCCGAGTTGTCCTCCCACACCACGGTTGCTTCTTCCTGAGTCTGATTTATGGTGTCCAGCAGGTGGCGGAAGTACTTGATGATGTTGCACTCCTTCGACAAAGCCACGAACTCTGCTTCAACGGAAGAGGTCGCCATCACCGTTTGCTTGGATGATGTCCATTCCACCGGTCCACCAGCGAAGTACAGGACGACTCCCGTGGTGGAGTAGCCCTTGTCTAGGTCGCCTGCAAAATCCGAGTCGGCAAACGCCGTAATGACGTTTCCATCTTCGGCATCCTCGCCGTAGCGTACACCGATTGATATCGTCCCTTTCAGGTACCTGAGTACACGTTTGAGTTTCTGCATCGCCCTCGGACCTGGTTTCGCCATACTCCGCGTCAGAACCATCACGGAGTGAGTGATGTCGGGCCTTGTGCACCTGCTGAGATGTAAAAGCGAGCCTGTGGCGGAGCGGAAATATGTAGTATCCTCCGCTGACAACACCTCGTCCTCCAAGACGGACACCGGTCCAGCATCAGACGGAGATTTCGTCGGACGCGCGTCGGCCATGCCGAACTTGTCCAACACTACGTTGGTATACGCTTCCTGTTCCAAAAGAATTGTCCCTGCGGCTCTGTCTCGGTTGATTCCCATTCCGAGCAGGAACCTGGCTCCTCCGAGGTCCACCGTTTCGAAACGCTCATTCAGCTGATCTACTATGCTCAGCACTTTGTTCTCGCCCTCCCCGGTCAGCAGAATGTCATCCACATAAACGAGAAGGAGCACATCTCCATCGCCCAGGATGTACAAGCACGGTTCAGCGGTGCTCTCAACAAATCCGATCTTCAGGAGAAAATCGTGCAGAGTGCCCCACCAGCCTTTTGGGGAAAAACACAACCCGTAAAGCCACGCTCTGAGCTTCCATACTTGCCTGGCTCTCTCGCTGTCGCACGAGAATCCTTCCGGGGGAATGACGTACACTGGTTTCGATCCCGGTTCCATCCTCGCGTGGAGGAACGCCGTCCTGATGTCGGCTTGGCGAAGAATAAGTCCATTCTTGGTAGCATGCGCAACTATCAGATGGACGGCTTGGAGAGACGCTACCGGTATAGTATTGTCGGTTCCGGTCTCACCTTCGTGAAATCCTTGCACTACGATTCTCGATTTCTGTCTCACAGCGATGCCGGCTTCGTTGTACTTCCATTTGTAGATGTATTTTGAGGGGATGATTTGAGCATCGCGCGGGGGATCGACCCACTCATAAACGTCGTGGTCTAGTAAGGAGCGATTCTCCTCCTCCATGCTTTTCATCCATCCAACGGCATCTGCTCCGTTGACCACTGCGCGGTAGTTCGGTGGATCGGCAGGCATGTATCCTAGTTGGCCAGGTATCCCTTGACCAAGGTTCCCGATCTCACCTCCGATCACCAGTGCGTATTCTGTTTCGAACACCTGCTCCGTCGTAAAAAGGTTCAGACGGTCCCGCGGCTTTGTCGTGCGACCGCTTTTCCTCACCGCGGGCGATTCTTCGTCCGGTCCGTCGTTCGTGTCTGCCGGTTCTGGTTCCTCGTCTCTTGTCTCGGCCCCAGTGATAATGCCGGGCTGGAAAATCTGGCCTTGTTCGCGAAATGGGTCAGACCCGAGCATGGGGCGAGAGACGCGGCGGGCATCTACCTCGAGGAAGGACACTTCAGCAGAGTTTGTAGTTTTGAGTGGTTCCGCTGGGTCCCATAGCCGCCACGTCTTGCTGGTTGTATTGTATCCCACCATGTAATACTTCTTCGCCCTGGCAGAAAACTCATCGTTTCGCGAGCGAGCTTCTACGTGTTGAAACGCTACAGACCCCCACTCATGCATGTGCTTCAAGCTGCCGAGTGGTTTGTCCTCCCAAACCTCAAGTGTTGCTTTGCCGTCCAGGACGTCAGTAGGTGTGCGGTTCTTGATGTAAATGGCGGCCTTCACGGCTTCCGCCCACAGTTGACGCGGCAGGTGCGGAGCTCCAAGCATGAGGCTATGTGGTGCACCGATGACAGTCCCGAAACCGCGTTCGGCGACAGCATTCCCTTGAGGGACGTACGGGGGGCTTGTCTCCACAGCAATTCCGAAGGACCGACACATTGCTAAGAACCTACCCTTGAAGTCGGCTGCGCCATCGCAATGGATTTCCCGATGCAGATGCCCTCGGGGTCGGCGACTTCTTTAATCAGGGTTTCGAGCGCGTCAGTCACTTCATCCTTTGTCTTCAGGGGGATGCCCCACCGCATGCGAGACTTATCGTCGGTGAACATTGCGATATGCTGACATCCGCTGTACGATGGCACACCATGTTTCCCCCACAGGTCCAGATGCATAAGCATCATTCGCGTCGGTGAACGGGCGCGGCCAACTGGTGGGTGACTCGCCTTCATCGGTATCGGCACGGAAAACAAGCCGGAACCTGTCTTTCCCCATATCAACAGCAGAGGTGCCTCGAATGTACGTCGTGAATCTCATCCTGGACGACCTGAATCTCGACCTGCCTA